CTGGGGAAGGTGATTCGGAGGCCCCCGCTGACGGAGAAGCTGCTGAGCAAGCCCCCGTTCCGTTACCTGCACGACATCATCACCGAGGTGCGCGCCTGCGGGGCCCGCGCTGGTGCTGGCCGGGTGGGGGACAGAGTCGGGGACTGGGCCAGGCCGGGCTGGTAGGGTAGGGCCCGGTTGTGGTCACCGCCCGGGTCGCCGTCGGGCCTGGGGCCCTGGTTGGTGCGGACCGTGGCCCTGGTGGGGGCCGGGCCGGGGTCGAGGTCGGGGTCCGGGTCCGGGTCCGGGTCCGGGCCGGGGGTCGGGACTCCGGATTGAGGCTGGGCCAGAGTCTGGGTCGGGGTCAGGGCCCTGGGCCGGGGTCAGGGCTCTGGGCCTGCGCCGCAGTCGGGTTTAGGTCCGGACCCGGGCTCGCCGTGGGTCTGGGTCTGGGTCGGAGTCGGAGGTCGGAGATGGGCCAGGGCTTGGGCAGGGTCGAGGCTGCGGTCCTGGAGCCCAGCCTGGAGACTCCGGATTGAGGCTGGGCCAGAGTCTGGGTCGGGGTCAGGGCCCTGGGCCGGGGTCAGGGCTCTGGGCCTGCGCCGCAGTCGGGTTTAGGTCCGGACCCGGGCTCGCCGTGGGTCTGGGTCTGGGTCGGAGTCGGAGGTCGGAGATGGGCCAGGGCTTGGGCAGGGTCGAGGCTGCGGTCCTGGAGCCCAGCCTGGAGCTCGGGGCAGGCCGCGCTCCTCGCGTGTAGGTCCTCGGCTTCACCCACACCGGGCCCCTCTTACAGGGAGGCCGGGGCTCCCCGAGGATCGTCCTGGGCTCCCGCCCGTGCGTGCGCTCGTTCTGCGTGGCAGAGCTGCGTCAGTGCCTGCCCCCTCTAATCTCAAGGTCCTCCCGGTCACCCAGCCGCCTCAGCAGGTGGAAGGTGTCCCTTAATCCTGAAAGAAGTGACTTACTATTTTAGACCCCCTACACCCTCAAACTTTTCTCCGCAGCATGTGAGCCTCACATTTTGGAGGTTTCCATGAGGACTGTGGGTGAATTTGCTGGAGGTAATGGTTGGGAGACCTGAGAGGAAGAGCCGTCATGAAGCAGTAGTGTTTGTGGGTGACTGCCCAGCGGACCTTGTGAGATTGGGTGTCCGTGTGACTTTCTCTGCTGCGGATGGGAGCTGGCAGTGCCTGAGACCCAGTTGTTAGGGTGACTCGGGTGCACTGCTGGGGACGGTACATAAACCCACAACAAACAGTCTGCCCAGCGGGTTTGTCAAGGCTGCTCTGAGTGTCACCAGGAGTGGCAGTGCCATTTCCATGGTGCACCGGAGGACGCTCAGGGACTTAGGGCTGCTCTTGGGTTCCGGATTTTCGGTTTCCAGGCTCCCTGGACGCCTAATCTCGCAGCTGTTGGTTCCCCAGCTCGGTCTGGTTTTCAACACATTGGCCACCTTCTGCTTCCAGGCTGCTTTCCTCCTTCCTGCCGGCTCACTGTAGCTCGGCGGGCTGGCTGGGAATCTGAGCCTCTGCATGAAAAAGCCAGCGGCCCACACCCAGGGCTGGCTTGACTGTGGCCTCCTCCTAGCTGATGCAGCTGGCCCTGTCCTGGGCAGCATTTGGGGAGGGGGCTGGCTGCAGGGAGCGCGCACTGCGAACAGGGCAGTGTCCTGCATCTCCACCACCCCGTGCCATGTTTGGAGTCTGACCAGGAGGGACAGGTACCCGGCAGTCAGATGTGAGCTCAGTGCACTGTGACTGGGTGGGCCTGTCCCCCGGGAGTGAGGTGCAGGGGTGGTCTCATCCGCATGGATGCCAGGTGTGGCAGGGGGCTGCTCAGTGACTCCCTCGTGACGGTCACAGGGCCATGGAAAGGAGGGGGACACGGAGCAGGCGCTGACATGCTGGCCAGGTAGGCAGGTTGTCAGGAAGAGCTTTGCACCCCTGGCAAGGCACTGCTTCCCTTCCACGGCACTTTTCCTAACCTGGTCCTAAAAGCAGGGTCTCTACCCTTGTGAAGATACAGACATTGTCACCTACTTGATGAAGATGTTAGGACAACTGACAGACTGGAAAGCATTTCTGGATAATAGGTGGAGTGCCTCCTGTGAGCTGCTTTACCATTATTACTCACAACATTTTTTTTAAAGAGAAATTTTTGCTATAGGCCTTTGTGCTCCCCAGAGAGACAGGAAGTGAGAAATCACCCCCCAGGGGGTTGGCCACACCACAATCCCTCCTCCTCAACTCTCCTCTTGGGATTTTGGGTATGCACGCATGTGTGCCTGGCGTGCTATAACCACCATGCCACCTGTTGGCCCCTGGCTGTTTAATTAAAAAAAAAACAAAAAACGAGGAACCAGCAGTTAGTGTAATGGCTATGTCACTGGACTCCCATGTAGTCGACCGCAGTTCGTGTTCCAGACCAGATGGCTTAAAACTCACGCCGGGCATGTGTGCGTGTGTGTGTGTGTGCCCAAGATCCCGAGAGAACGGAGGAGAAGGGATTGCGGCGTGGCCATCCCCCTTGGGGGGGTGATTTCTCGCTTTCTGTCTCTCTGTCTCTCTCTGTCTGTCTGGCGAGTGCACGCGCCCTATAGCAAAAACAAAAACAAAAACAAAAACAAAACAACAAAAAAACCTCTCCAAAACAAAAACAAAAAACAAAACAAACAAAAAATGCTTGTTACTACCCATTGTGTTGGCTTTACAGTAACCTCCCACACCTCAGACAACTTGGGTCTGATTGAACCCAGAACCCTGGCAGGGTGTGGGTGGGGCGGGACAGAGAAAATCACTTCTCTGGAAGCTGTTTTGGGGTAACGAGGAGGTTCAGGCTACCTGGGGGTGGGGACCGTAGGGGGAGGTCCAAGGCGATGGGGCTTCAAAACTCCACTGTCCCAAGGAGGAGTGATGACAGGTGGTGAGGAGGAAGACTTCTGGAGTGCTCAGTTTTAGAAACCTCTGAGAAGGCCCTTTTCTTTCTGGAATCCATTTCCTCCTGTGCCTGCGCGACTCATCAAACCTGCTGTGGTCTGGTCCTTCTCTGCTTCCAAACCAGTCAGGCCTCTTGGTGTCTAGGCCGAGCTCTCTGTCCTGGACCATCCCAGTGGGCCTTGAGTTAGGCCGGTACGCCCCTCCGGCTCAGGCTCCTGCCATCCCAAACTACTTTAGGTCCTTGGAGGACCCCCTGGCCTGGGCCTCGTGTGCACTGTGAGTCTGGTGCTTGCTTCCTCCATGCCCCTGCCCTCTGGTCTCGGTGTAGAGACGATTTTTTCTGGTCCCCTCTCTGCTTACCAAGTGTGATTGCAGTGCCAACCCATATGCTTCCTCCGTGCCTGGGTGTTGTCTGTCGTTGTCCTCTGTCTGTCCCTGCAGACTGAGTAAGTCCTTTGAGGACCAGGCTGGATCCTGCTTGTCACCGCACCTGTGCCAGTTGATGGCAGGTATTTGTAGAGTCATGGACGAGGAGAGTCCTGGGCGCGGGTCAGCTCTGACGGCTCCTGCAGGTGGGGTCCCGAGAACGAGGCTGGGGAGGATGCTGCCCCAGGGACTTACGGTGGCCTCTCTCTATCTTTTGAAGGTGATTAGAATGACTGGTTTCATGAAGGGCCTCTACACAGATGCCGAGATGAAGTCTGATAATGTGAAGGTAGGTTCAGGGGATGCTCCCCTTCCCTGCTGCTCCGCCTTAGTGCACGTGGGTGGTTTCTAGCCTGTGTACTGCAGCCGTGTCGCACGTCAACTGATAGACTGTTGGAATAGGTTTTTTTTTTTTTTTAGTTACAAGTGCACTGTAATTTTCTTCTGAAACATTTTAAAAAATTAATTAATTTACATTCATTCCCTGAGCATCGTCACAGCATACAAAATGTGATTTCCCATCCAGAATATACTGCATAGTGTCTTAATCATACATGTTATTGCCAATAATTTTCTATTTCTA